CGTGAAAATGCATCTCTCAACCTCTCTCTTTCTCTTCTGCACTCATTTCACGTTTGTTTGCACTCTTTGGTGCATCGCCACGGCTCGTTAATTTTCCGGAAATGCATCCGAGCACTGTTGCAATCGTGCATTTGTCACGAGGTGCGCCACCCTAGCTGGGGCCCCACCCCTCGACCTGCCAACCTCTAATCCCGATTTGCGAATAACAAATGTAAATTCACGGATCCGCGAGTGCGCAGCTTGTTTCCGGATGAATGCGACATTGCCGGACGACTCGTGGAAATACTCGACGGTCGCCACTCCATTCGCTTTACTTTATTTTCTTCCTTTATTCGATTCTCGAGAAAGGAAGAACTATTTTCACCGCGATTCTTGACACTTCGATAAGAGATTTGTTATTTGTAGCACTTTCTGATGTAAATAATGTTTCATACTTTCGCTTGTATCTTCAAGCGCTTATATGTTATAGAGATATATTATCTGGAGACTATTACTGTTTGTTCTACATTATTTTAACAAGATTCATTTTATATCATCATTAAGAATCAAGAATTATTAATCCTTCGTAGTTAATGCCAATCTGTATACAATTACTGATATTGGATTTGTAAGATCTATTTAATTTAGATGTTAATTAAAAGACATAAATTAATTTCATTAAAAAAATTAAAATTAAATAATTTGTATAAAAAAGAATGAATGTCCACTAAACTGGGTTGCCACAAAACTGGAAGTCAGGGAGTCATCAGGGAAATTGGAGAAAAGTTAGGGAATTTTGCAAAATTTTCTAGAAAATTAAAATTTTGGAAGAAATTCAGTATAAATACATCGTACTAACGTTTTCGTATACCATCAACTTAACAGTTAAAAATGTAAGCAGTGTTAGCAGTTAATAGTAATTTACATTGCTACGTTAAATTGATCTTTCAACAAAATTTTTAACAGTTTCTAAATCAGAATGAAAATATAAGAAATTTCAAAATATTATTGAAAGTCGAAGAAAAACATGTCTGAAAAATCAGGGAAAAATTATGGATTTTTTAGGATGAGGAATTTGTGGCAACTCTGCAAATATATTTTAATAAAGAATAATCTGAGAAAGAGAGAGAGAGAGAGAGAGAGAGAGAGAGAGAGAGTTTACAGATGTATTTAAAAAAAAATTGAATTGTTTGACATTTTTGACAGAGAGACTTATAATTGAGTAGCTCCAATATAAACTCATCGTTAATTCCGGAGAGTTAAGAATCGTTTTAAGAATCAAGAGGAGTAGAGATGAGATAAGGAGATATATTCGAATAAAAAAAATTTCCGACGCCTCGAGCGAAGTCGGGATATCAAAGAAATTGGAAAAGAGATAAACATGGAACGTTTTGGATATTTATGACGGATTAAAAAGAATATGATTGATCTATCCACCAAATTAAATCGACCATGTTTTTCGGACGCCAGTCAGAAACGCGGAGGCGCGTTTCGAAGTACGAAAGGATCGTTCCATGGCGTACATATAACGGGGAGTCGCGCTGGAAGGCAAGGAGCCGGGCAAGGCGAGACGCGAGAGAAGGCTTGGCTCTTTCTCCTTCTCTCTCCCCCCCCTTCTCTCTCTCTCTTTCTCTCTCTCTCTTTCTTCCGAGTTCGAGGCAAAGTCGCGTCGGCAGTCGCCACGGCCGTTTCTCAACCCTTTCGCGGTTACGTCACGTTAAAAAAGCTATTTGGGGTCAACACCCCGCGCTACAGCGACACGTGTAGTACTCCTTGGATCCCCCCATTCCCCCGTCACTCCGCGGCGTGGCGGCCCTCCACCCCGCGGTAACGCGAAGACAGCCCTCTCTCCCTCCTTCTCCTCCGCGCGCGCAAGCAATGACGCCATTGCTGTCACTTCCCTTCCCTCCCACCGGCTCAATCGCCTACTCTAAGTATTCCTTCTACTCTCGCCGAGGTTTCTAAGCTTCCTAGACGCGCCAGGGCCAGAAGCCCAGTTCTAGATGGGCGCGCGTAGCTCCGGGCACCGAAGATCACCGATAGGGTTGTTACCTGTATTGGTAAAAAAACAAAAAAACCTCGTACAATATTTCCATCGTAAAAAAATTCTCTAACACATATACATGTTACATGCATACATAAAAGAAATAACAATACATATTTTATATAGGGTAAATGAGGAAAATCTAAATTAAATCGTTTATATATATATATATATATATAATGACGAAACACATTAACCCTCCAGCAGAACAGGCATAATGATCAAGTTTGTGCAACGTACAGCAAGCTCTCTTGCGACAGAGGAAATGAAAGACGGAGAAAAACAGAATGGATTGGGGAAGGGATACAAGACGGAGAGGGAGGGGGGGGGAAGAAGAGGGAAAGGCAAAGCAGCCCCAAGCGATACAGCCCTGGCCGTGGGCGCAACGAAAGAGTGGTAGGAGAGTCACACACAGCCGAGTTTCTCGAGGAACGAGCGAATGAGAGCGCACGCCACTCTGCGCGAGCTAGAACTAGCTAGAGTCTCGCTAGAGCGGAGCCAAGGACACTAGATGATCAGCAACAGTAGTCGCAAGAGTCAAACGACAGCGGCGGAGGCGGAGGCGGAGGCGGAGGCGGAGGTGGTAGCGGTGGCGGCGGAG